CCCTCACCACCTCCCGGGTCCTCCTCCAATGCCCTCACCACCTCATAGATCCTACCCCCCATGCCCTTGCCACCTTCCAGGTCCTCTCCCCAGTGCCCCCACCATCCCTGCTCTTTCTTCCCCTCCTTCCCACTTTGTGCTCTGCCCTCACGGAGCCCTCTTCTTGGGTTAGGCAACAGCCCTACAACCTCAGCCTCTGGCTTTTACCTCCTTGGCTACTGAAACCTGGGTTTTCACTGATTCTCCTCTGTCTCCTTCAGGATGGAGGTGAGATCATGGTCTTTTTCTCCTTCAAGGCCAATTCCGGACCTCATCCACCACCTGCTGTGCAGAAACCTCTCTCCCTTGACTTTGCTGCCTGGTCCCTCCTGGTAGCTACCGTGTCCTCTGATCTTCTGCTCATGTCCCTGTGTAGGGAAGAGTGGATAAAGGCAACTGTGGGTAGGCTACAAGTTAAAAATGAAAATGCTGGGCCTATTTCAAGCAGGGGAAGGCCTGAGCATCTCTGACGGTCACGCACAATGAGCAGGAGAAGGCATTTCCGAGACTGCATTGCAGGGTGATGGATTTGGCCGATGCCTGGGAGGAGTGCTGTCTGTGTAGACTTTATCCCGAGTCTCTGGGAGGTGAGGCGTCTGTTGGCCCTGCCCTGTATCATGACGCCCTCCGAGACATAAGGGAGCAAACATTGCACTGGGGCAGAATGGACTTTGTCCAAGAACAGATGGACGCAGAGGCAAGGGACAAGGCCCTCGGTGGAGGAAAGTGTGAGCTAAGTAGTCCCATGACCGCTGTGACCCGGGCACTTGAACCTTAGCTGTGAGAGAGCCCAGGCTAGTTAGTCCATGCTGACTCTAGACCAAAAATCGCTGGACATGGTGACGGCAAAAGTGGAGAGAGGACGGCACTTTAACGTCCTTAGTTAATCACAGGCCGTTAGTCATTGAGTGCCGTAACCCAGTCGTGACAGTGGTGAGTTTCCCCTGGGTCAGGGAGAGGTGTCATAGACAGCACTGCCGTTGTAAAAGGTCCCTCAGCTGGCGGTCTCATTCCAGCGAATGCATTCCTGAAGTGCCTACGTTTCACTGACACATGTGTGCCTGTCCTCGTGGACCTGCCCCAGTTCCTGGTGCATCTCTTTGAAGTACTTTGATGGAGTACATGTGACTTGATATCCAACTCTAAAATATTGCACAGAACTTTTCATCAGGAAATCTAAATACTTTTCTCCCCTAAAAATTGGGAAAAAAGTTTCTCTCATTTAATATATATTTCAATATATATTAAAATATATATTTCTAAAATATATATATTCCAATATATTTTTATTTTGAAAGGTTACTTCCTTTTTGAGGTTAAGATCTCATTTAGATATGCAATGGAATACTATTCAGCCATGAAAAAATAAAATAATGCCATTTGAGCAACATGGATGGACTTCGAGATTATCATAGTAAGTGAAGTAAGTCAGCAGAGAAAGAAAAATACCACATGGTATCACTCATGTGGAATCTAAAAACATGAGGCAAATTAACTTATTTACAAAACAGAAACAGACTCACAGACATAGAAAACAAACTTGTGGTTACCAGGGAGGAAAGGGGGTAGAGGGATAAATTGATAGATAAATTGATAGATTTGCAGATACTAACTACTGTATGTAAAATAGATAAACAGCAAGTTTATACTGTAGAGCACAGGGAACTATATTCAACATCTTGTTGTAACTTATAATGAAACAGACTATGAAAACAATATATGTATGTTCACAGGTGACTGTAACATGTTACTGTACACCAGAAACTGACACAACATTGTGAACTGACTATACATCAATAAAAAATATACATGTACCCATCAAAAAGATCTCATTTAGATGCTGCACATGGTGTTTCAGTGTGGTTGCCACGCCATGCCCGTGCAAAGGTGTGAACACACCTGCAGAGTAACGGGTAACATGTTTGTGTCTTCGTGAGAGAGGCCTTCTCATCACAGCGGCTGAGCACCACGGCTGCAGCTGGCCATGTAGCTCCGTGTACATCTTGCTTCCCCTCCTTGGCAGTGACCAGAGTCCTCCGCTGGGTGATTTATTGATGGACCGAACCCATAAATGTGGTTGTCCTCGCAGGGAGAGAAACATGCTGTCCTGAATACTTGTAAAATGTTCCTATAAAAGTGTTTGTGAGCAGTAATTTTATACTATTTTTTCCTTTAGAGATTTTAAAAAATTACTCATTTTACGCTGACAGAGACATTTGCACGTATCCCACCGAGGGCATTTGGGTTACCTTAAATGTCAGTCATTTTGACTCTTTTAAAAGAATTTTGAAGAGGTTCATCCTTAAAATAGTTTTTTTAAAAACATCTCTCCTGTGACATTGCTTTGCTTCTGAAGGTCAGCCTTCTTCTTTTTATTTTTGAAAAATGATATCTTTTGTCATAAATAAGTTTTTCTTCCTAAAACCAGTATTTAAAAAGTAGATCTTAATATGCATTCATATGCTCCATTTCTAATTCATTATTTTAAACTTTCAGGCTCAACTTTAAAGAAGCTTCTACACACTGGAAATTCTATTAAGGTATTTATTTTAGATGAAAGTGTGGCATTTTTCATTACTCTTAAACTTATTTATGCCATAAAGTGACAAAATTAGACCATTTTGAAAAAAAATCTTTAGAAGCCATTTAATTAGTTTTTATTTTTAGTTGAGAAATTATATGCGAAGTATTGTTAGAGTTTTTGTTCTTCAGTCATGATTTATTGTGGTAGACACCTGAAGTATTATTAGGAGAAAGTGGCTTGGGATTTGGAGTTTGGAGTCTGAGTTCTCATTTTGATTCTGCGGGGTGCGGCCAGGGAACCACGGCCAAGCTGCTAACTGCCCCAGTTTTATCGTGAGAAAAGAGAAGGGGTTGAACCAGTTTCTTCCTAAGCTTCAGAGTTAATGTGCCTGATTCTGTTCATCCCAGTGATCTTGGTGTTAAGATTATAGTTGTTTCTGAATTATTTTTGCTATTTTTGAGCTTTGATTGGGTTGGGGCCGGGGAGAGCAGCAGAGCCTTACTCTTAAAGATTTATTTGCAGCAGATCTTGTAATTTAGGTTGAAATTAGCTTATTTTAATGTGTCTTTTATAATGGCAAGAGACCACTGGGCTCTAAGATACAATAGCCCTAAAATGTAAGTGACAAGAGAAGCCAGCCTGGGACGTATGTATTGTGGGAGATAATTCACTTGTAGCTATTTGACTGGTGTGTGTGCTTTCAATAAGCTAATCCATTTTTGGTTTTAGACGAGTTTAAACAATCCTAGCCACTCACCTTGATAGGTTCACTATCTCTTAGCTGTTGAAAAAAACGAGGTGAGCTGTCCCTGGCTTCATGATAGTTTTTCTGTATTGTGTCCCTCCTGTTCAATGAATGGTCTTCTAGCTAAAACTTATCAGGTTGTTAGCTTCCATTTATTATTGGCTTTATTGTATTTAATTATCTTAAATGCAGTTAACAAAAAATTGGAGACTTGTGGTAGAATGTTGTGAAAACTTCTGTCTTGTTAAATTTACTCTAATTTGGTTAGACATTCATGGAGCTCTGCCTTTTTGTGTCTGGCGCTGAATATCATTGCGTCCTCAGCAATGTCACCACCCACCTCACCTACTGGGGACAGGAGGACAAGTGCAGCAGGCACCCGGGGCAGTGCCGGGCCCACGGGCATGTCTGGGAGGGCACCGCGGGTCCACGGGTGGCGGGGCAGCACTGTCATGACATGGGTGTCTGTCTCGGTGGGTTTGACTTCAGTGAGAAGTCAACCAGGCTTTTTCTCCCTCCCTCCCAGTCTCTCCTCCTCTTACCTTTCCTGCAGAGCCTCGGATTTGGCTTGGGCCTGGGCTCTGGACGAATCGGAGATCAGGCGGCCCCTCGGTCCGCCGGCATCCGGAGCTCAGGACGCCCTTCAGCTGACATTCCTCTCATCTCTTTGGCTTATTGGACTTCTTTTATTGACCTTTTCTTTTTAGCCGTTTAGGAATGTAAAAACGGAGGTACCTCTGTTTAGAAATTCCAGGGATGGGATGACATTGAAAGTAAGTGCCGAGGAGGAAAAGGGCACTTCTGCCCACATTGGGGTTTTCTTTCCGGGATGCTGACGACTGGGAGCCGGGCGCAGGCGCGGGAGAGGGCCGTAGGGACTGGCAGGGAAGCCGGGCTGCCCTGTCCCACGGAGCCAGGTCTTCAGGGTCCTGTTCAGCGCCAGGTGTTCTGATTTTCAGGACCGTCATATATATATGCACAATGTCATGAGACGACAAAAAGCCTTTCCAAAGCGCAGTGTAGATTTCGGGGAAGATGATCTTTGCGTTGTTTTCAAGGGTAATCGAGGGTCGATGCTATGGGCCATCACCCGAAGGGGTGAAATACAGCTCACGGGAGATATTCTCACAGCACTTACTGTGAGCCGGCCAGTTCAGACTCACTGAATCCCACTCTGGTGCTTTGTGGTGAACTCTGCCATCGCCCCGAGTTTACAGTGAAGTCACGCGGTCCTCCCTCCACGGCGCACGGCTCCTTGCTTCCTGGTCACTAAGGGAGGAACTTGGTGCAGGACTTGAGTAACGCCTCTAACTGCACTTCTCCCCTCAGAACCAGTGCCACGTCGCGCCGCACTTCCACAAAGACGTGCGCATGTCTCATTTCGTGGCCTTTCATTTTGTTTTAGATAAGATGTGAAGGGATCCGGCTGTTTCTTCTGTGGCTCCAAGCACTTCAGACGAACTGTGCGGAGGAGCAGGTGCTGATTTTTGCCTGCCTGGTGCCGGGGTTCCCAGCCGTAGTGTCGTCCTGGGGGCCGTGTACACTGGAGACCCTGATCAACCCCAGCCCCAGTGCAGCTGACGGTGAGTGACGCCTGCCGACCCTCCAGGTGCAGAGTCCCCTTGAAGCTACGTGGAGGGATCCCCTGGTCTGTCCTTGTCCTGAACAGAAACCGTGACTTCATCAGTGGGCCCTGAAGAGGGCCTACCCCTGTTGGCGCTCACAGGGGATCCCTGCACATGTTAGAATTGCCAGGATTAGGGTCTGTTCTGTGTGACACGTGCCAGGAGAGGTTTAGAGAGGGGTGGGGACAGGGCGGCAGGGAGGGGATGAGCGTTGGCAAGAGCAGAGACCCAGGGTCCATCTGGGGCGTTCCTGTTGCTGTTAATGAGACGAGGTCTGCACCCCGAGCGCTGCTTGTCCTCGACGCTGCGGGTTTCTCCGTGGACGCTCAGCTCTCACCCAGTGCTCTTTGGCCAGCTGTGTGTTTTCATGCGGCCTCCGTGGGAGGATAGCAGTGGCCTCACGGGACTATTAATGGCAGTCATCTGTGCCCTGTGAGTTTTCAAGGAACTTGCCTGTTAGGGCCATTGGTTCATTACTGCAGCTCACCTTGTTGCCCAATGCCAGCTGTTTGATCTTGGGCGGGCCAGAGCGGAGGGTGGAAGGGAGAAGGGTGGTCCAGTGAGCAGGTGCTTCATGGGGACCCGTCCCACGTGTCCCGGCCGCGCCCTCCGTGGGCACCGGCTCGGCCTGCAGGGTGAGCAGGGCGTGGATACATGTATTTTGATAGAGGCCATTTTTTAAAGCCCTGTTTAAAATTCAACTTTGCTGAAAGAGCTTTCATTATTTCTCACTCTGCAGCAAAGATATATCCAGAAGAAATCACTCCACTCCTGCCAGCCGTATCAGGGGAAAAGGTTGCTGAGGACCAAACATGCTTTTTTCTTCAAATACTGTTGAAATATATGGTTATCCAGGTATGAGCAAAATCAGAGATGATTCAGTGGCCGTGTTCTCAACAGGAGAGAAAACACGTTGCCTTTTTCTTCCTGTTCATCCATCTTTTATGTTTCTACTTTTTCTTTGAGATAATTTGATGTGATATTTCACTAAGCAGAGAATATGTGCCAGGTCACTTAGCAAAGACCAGGCGTACGTACTGTGTGTGTGTGTGTGTGTGTGTGTGAGTTACTATGTGTGTGTGTGTGAGACTCTGTGTGTGTGATACTGTATCTGTGTCTGTGTGTGTGTGTGAGTTACTATATGTGTGTCATAGTGTGTGTGTGTGTGTGTGTGTGTGTGTGTAAACTATCCAGGTCTCCATCTGTCTGTCTCCTTTACTGTCCCTTATTTCATATTATTCACACAGAACACCGCCCTTACAACGCGTCTGCTCACCGAGTGTGTGGGAATTCTCTCCCGCCAGTAATTCCCCGTGGCCCCAGCTGAGTGTCTTGCAGTGTAACTCAGTTCTGACGCATCCTTCCTGGAGGAGCCTCAGTTGTCACGGGACAAGACCCGGTCCTGTCTGGCTGCTCCCACCCCATTCAGAGGCCAGTCGCGGGGATTATGTCCCCAGGTTCCCCACAACTTCTATCCAACGTGGCTACAAATCAGAGGGTCCCTGTTCCCTCGTTGGGTTCAGTTAGTTTCCTAGAGTGGCTCACAGAGCTCAGGGAGGCCCTGTTTGTAAAGGGTGTGATAAAGGACAGGGCGAATAGCTGATGGAGACACATGAGGCGAGGCCCAGGAGGGCCTGAGCGCAGGGTCTCCCGTCCCTGTGGCCCGGGTGCGTCACCCTCCTGGTCTGGGGCTGTGTTCAGCCTGGAAGCTCCCTGAGACCCAGGCTGTTGGGATTTTTAGGGCACGTCCTTGCGGGGGCAGGATCAGAAGTTAACCCCGCTTCCTGCCCCTCCCCTGCTCTGGTGCCTTGGGGTGGGGCGGGCAGAAGCTGCAGATTCCAGGTTTCCATTCTGGCTCTGTCCTTCTGGTGACCGGTCCCCATCCGGGCACCCTTCAGGGAGCCTGGTGCTCTTATCACGTAGAACCTGCAAGGGTCTGCAGAAGTGGATGCTCGGACATAGAAAACAAACTGGTCTCCAGAGGTTTCCAGGAAAGGGGTAGGGGAGGGATAAATTAGGAGTTTGGGATTAACAGATATGTACTACTATGTATAAAATAGGTAAACAACAGGGACCTACTGTAGAGCACAGGGAGCTATGTTCAGTTTTTTTTTTTAAATTTCAGTTTCTTGTAATAAGCTATAATGGAAAGGAATCTGAAAAATACATATATGTGTGTATATGTATAACTGAATCGCTTTGCTGTACACCTGAAACTAACGTTGTAAATCAACTACACTTCAATAAAAAATAACATTAAAAAAAATTTACAAGAGTTTTAGGAGCTCTGTGCCAGGAACCAGGGGCAGAGACCAGTACGGATCTTTTCTGTTATCTCAGAGCGTTTACCTGCTTTGGGCTGTTTGCTGCCCCACTGCCTGGTTCTCTCTGCTGGTGAGACCAGGGTGGGGGAGCAGCCGGCCCAGAGGCAGAGGGATGGTCCGGAATCCACAGAGTCGGGGGAGAGGAAGGAAGCCCATGGGATTACCTCCTCCTGCCTTCAGCCTGGGGCTCCTTTACGTCACCTGCTTCTTTCTCTTATATTTACCCGCTGAAAAGAGAACTGAAATTGTTAGCTTACGGTTTCAGTAGGGGATTTATGTCTCTTGGTCTCTGTTTCTGAACATTGATATGGTTCAGAGAAAAGCTACTGATCCTTTACTCCCAGTGAACACTCCGCTCGTCCCCGAGCTCCTCCGGCGTCGTTCAGGCCGCGCCCTCCCCTGCGCAGCCCGGGCCGTGGACGTAACAATCTCCGCCAAGTCCACTTCCCCGCCTGACGTGCCTTGGATGTGACTGTCACCTGCCTTTGCCCTGTCACTGCTGGGTCGGGGGCCTAGGACGCCGAGGGATCTGGAGTCAGGTCCAGAGCAGGACCCTCTGGTGTCTGCCGTCCTTGATCCTTCAGGCGATGTGGCAGGGATCCCTCCTTCATCAGAGCCTCTCCTGCTGGGGTGCCTCCCCCAGCTTCTCTCCCCCTTTCTTTACTCCTTTCCAGTTTTCTGGAGGATTCTGCGCTTCTCTCTGCCAACCTTAGAGGTCAGTCCTTGGCTGCCCTCTCTGCCCACCTCGTCCTGGGGGTGGTCCTGTGCACTGTCCTGTTCCCGA